GGCTCCTGGGAGACCGCTTCAGCACTGGCTCCATGGCCGAGTCCCGAGGTGGGCGTGGCAACGCGGCACTCACCGGGTTCAAGTTACATTGGCCTTCCGCCAAGCCTTCACCCCGTGGTCAGACCTTGCATTTCTCCGGGCAGGAGTGCCCCTAGACCAGGTCTCCAGGCATGCTGTGGTTCACACAGATGCCTCAACCACCGGCTGAGGGGCCACGTACAACGGGCTTGCAGTGTCAAGGGTTTGGACGGGTCCCCAACTACACTGGCACATCAACTGCCTCGAGTTGCTGGCAGTGCACCTGGCCTTGATCCATCTCAAAGGGCGCTTACGAGGCAAGCATGTACTAGTCCGCATGGACAACACTGCGACCGTTGCGTACATCAACCGACAAGGTGCTCTGCGCTCCCGTCGCATGTCGCAACTCGCCCGCCACCTCCTCCTTTGGAGTCAGAAGCATCTGAGGTTGCTTCGTGCTGTTCACATTCCTGAGGCTGCTCAACCGGGTACAGCTGACGAGCTGTCTCGAGCAATGCTACCGGGAGAATGGTGACCCCATCCCCAGACGGTCCAGCTGATTTGGAGACGTTTCGGAGCCCCTCAGGTAGACCTGTTTGCCTCTCCAGAAACCTCTCACTCCCAGTTGTTCTACTCCCTGACCGAGGGAACACTTGGCTCGGATGCACTGGCACTCAGCTGGCCGCAGGGCCTTTGCAAGTATGCGTTTCCCCCAGTGAGCCTTCTTGCACAGACACTGTGCAAGGTCAGGGAGGATGAGGAGCATGTCCTGTTAGTGGTGCCCTATTGGCCCACCCGTACCTGGTTCCCGGAACTAATGCTCCTCGTGACAGCCCCTCCTTGGCCCATTGCTGTGGTTTGCGTCCGAAGGACGAGCATATCAGTACGAGGTCCTGCCCTCTGGGCTGTCCCTGTCGCCCCGGGTCTTCACGTAAGTTGCGAATGCATCCCTTGTTCCCCTAAGAGAACAGGGCATTCACATTCTCAACTACCTCGACGACTTGCTCATATTAGTTCAGTCTCAGGATCAGTTGTGCGAACACAGGGACTTGGTGCTCTCGCACCTCACCCAGTTGGGCCTTCAGGTCAACTGGGAAAAGAGCAAACTCTCCCCGATGCAGAGGATCTCTTTTCTCGGTATGGAGTTGGGCTGACACCATCACTTCAGCGAGAGCACCGTCTACGAGACACGCTTACGCTTTGAAGTGGAACCT